TTTGGGTCTGGGGGTTTTTTGTTTTTCCCTTGGGAAATTTTCCCGGGGGGTTTTTTAAAATTTTAAAATTTTTTTTTTTTTTTTTTTTTTTTTTTTTTTTACATCCACAGTGAGACGTTCTCATTTGTACTGACGGGTGAAGATGGAAGCAGACGGTTTGGCTATTGTCGCCGTTTACTGGTACGCTTAAATAAAGTCTTTATTTTATTTTTCATTATTATGGAGTTATCTATATAAAATCCATTGCTTCTGGTGCACCAATTAAACATTTTCATTGCTTTAGCCAAAAAAAAAAAACCCAACAACTTCATGGATTTAAATAATTGTTGTAATTCTTGAACTGTTTTTATGTTTTTGTGGGGTGAGAATTGCTCTATAATCAGGTAATTTCCTTTTGTATTGTCTGTTCACAGCCCAGCGGAAAAGGCCGAAGGCTCCCAGAGGTCTACTGTATCGTCAGCCGCCTGGGTTGTTTCGACCTTTTCTCTAAGGTAGTTAAGCTTTCAGTGGGATTTTAATTATTACCTTGACCGTGGATAAGATCAAGTTTAATCACAAAGTTATTTTCTCTTTGCAAGTTTCTCTTCTTAGCAAGTTTGGAACACTATTTAAAAAAAAAAAAAAAAATCATGTTCACTTGTCTTTCCCGTTTTGAGGAATGAGCCACTTTGTCACATTATGTTTTATGCCAAAGGAAAGCAGGAAGTTGTTGATTTCCAATTAAAGGTTCCACACCTCTATAATCAAATTAAGACTGTAGTATTCCTTAAAAACGATTTTAGCAGCGTTTTTTTCTTCTTCCCCACATTAATAAAACTTGGATTTTTCTAAAACTTTAAGTGTGAGATTATGGTGCCACAATAAAAGATTAATTAATTTTAAGGGTTACTTTACACATCTTCACCAGGGGTTCCAGTTAATTTGACAAGCGCTGGATAACGTTCAGACCTACTAACTGCATCCAACGGCTTAAAACGGCACATCCATTAAAGCTCGCATACGCCAACCCAGAACCCACCCCCTATTAAAACCACACCACCCCTGGTGCCCACTGAACCTCACCCACTCGTCTCTCTCTGAACCTTTGCAGTTCTGGCTGCGGTTCAGCAGCACATATGAAATGCAGATGGCGTGGTTACTACTGTGGAAAAAAGTTCCCTGTAATGAGTTGTGGATTTTTCTGCTTCCTTAGACGTGCTCCCCATGCAGTTGATGGAGTTTAATTTGTATAGATAAATATAAGGGGTTATTTTAGATTAAAAGTGGGGCGAGGGGTTGTTGGTTTACCGCAACTTGATTAAACTGCGAGTGCAGATGGACTTGCGGGCGTTTATAATGTTAATTTATTATAAGAGGATTTGAAATTCTGCGGGTGTTTTTCAATTTGTTCACTTTGTGCCTTAATAAGCCTGTGTGCTCTGGATGTTTGTAGTAAAAGGAAGTTTCACACAAGATGCGGTGCTTTAGCCGCACAGTTTGATTTGAATTCTGAAAAAAAAAAAAATAATAATAATAAATTTCCTGTCCTACTATCACAAAGATAAACATGTAGGCCTTGTTAAACTCTTTTGCTGATTTTTCTCGTCAGGTGTTACTAACAACAACACACTTTGGGTTTGTTTTGTGTAAAACAAAGAGCGACTATGTGGAACCTCGTTCCCTCAGTTTTAAGCAAGGTAGAGGATCTTTGATGCTGTGGGCCTGTTTCTCTGATCTGCAGAACTTTGTGCATATGAACTTCTTAAAATATCAGGATTTTTGGTTAATAAATAGTTAACCAGAAAGAAAATTAAATGCCTTCAGTGGACATATTAGTTACCTGTGTTTGTACTGCATTTAACGTTCAGTTCAGCAAGTTTCTGGTTTGTCTTCCAGATCCTGGATGAAGTGGAAAAGAGAAGGGCCATCTCTCCTGCTCTTGTGCAGCCTTTCATGAGAGGCATCATGGAAGCTCCCTTCCCCGCCCCAGGAAGGACCATCACCGTTAAAAACTTTTTGCCTGGCTCTGGGACCGAGGTCTTCTTCTTCTTTTTTTTTTTTTTTTTCGGTATTTTACGGCCAAACCATCAAAAGGGTGG